TAATTTACTAATCAATTTATATATTTCCGCTTTTATTTTTAATTATGTCAGTTTCGGTCCTCCGTACTGTAGAAGCCGGAAAATCACCCATTCATTCAAATCAGGTGTGTTTGAGCAGAGAAAAAAGTAAAACATGCAGGGCTGCAGCCCTCGAGGACCAGGATTGCCCACCCCTGCTCTAGTTGATCTCTTCTCAGTGTTTCAGACCTAAACATGAGCAATATACGGTTCTTCATGATAATCTAGTTGCTTATATAATATCTACAGTTCCTGGTGAGATACTGCATGACTCCATACTGCTGTGGTGTTTCGCTGTTTGCAGGACATTGGCTGCAGGAATACATACTGTAGAGCGTGTCYGAGTTTGTGCGTTCACGACAGCACCGTGAGCGTCACGGTTCCTTTGGTCCTTTTCAGGATGCCCACGGCTTCTTCGTGAGTGACGCCCTCCAGAGTCTGACCGTTAACGGCGATGATCTGGTCTCCACGCGTCAGRCGTCCGTCCTCTGCTGCCGCCCCCTGAACCCACACGCAGGCACGGAAAGGTTTCATTAAGAACAYGACAAATGTTGGCGGCAAACTGCTGGTGGTGGGCACAGCTAAGCAAAAWMGTTAGCTTCGCAAACCACTWATCTGCTAATCAAGAATATTAGCTCTGCTAATGCTATACAGATTTTAAAAAATAGTTGACGCTAAAGCTAACCGCTAACACAACTGTCACTCAGCCTTTAGCACTGATGCTAACCTGTTAGTTTTCTATTGGTTTAAATATGAAGGTGGGCGAGATCATATGTGGCAAAGTCGGCCAATCCAAACCAGTAGCTCTATCTAATTTGTGATACTTCCAGTTTACCCCTTATTTTTATACATAGTTTGGTTAGTCAATTTTTGTATTCATTATTCAAACCTTGTTAAATGTAATTTTATTTCTTTTTGGTGCTCTAAATTTGAAGTTTAGCTGCTACATGCTACACACACAGTGCCTGACATGTTCAGCACTGATTGTGAGAGGTGATTTATTTGAATTGGGATAAATGGCATAAAAAAGAATTGTACACATCTGAATTTTTTTGTGGAACCCAATTTAGCAGAAGTTAATCAACTGGTTAACAGTTTACAAAGTTAGCAAAAAGAAGAAAATCTGGTAAATGAGAAGCTAGTTCCTATATTAGAGGGATTCTGCCCGCCACTGCAAATTTTGATTAACAGACAGAAGTTTCCAGAATGGATCAAATTGCAAGACAATTTGTCGCAGGCATCCGTCACGCTTCTCAATTTACCTTCTGTAATTTTAAAGTCGTAAATTTTGGTCCATATTTATGCAAGTACCACATTAAATTTGAACCAAATTTACTGGGAWTTTGAGGAGATTTGTTATTCTGTGTGAAAATCTGCGTATTTTCTCGCAAATTTTGCATCTCCAACATGCCGTCAATAGTTCAGAGTGTTGGACAGGACTACATACTCATTATATGAGTATGTATGTATATGAGAAACTCACCTTTCCAAAAACGGTTTTAACGTAAATTGGCAGGTCTCCATGGGGACTGCCGTGTCCTCCGACGATACTGAAACCGAGTCCGTCAGGTCCTCGTTCGAGAGTGATGGTCTTATACTGAGGTGGGCTGAAGGAAAGACAGAATTAGGAATGCACTTTTAACTCTGACTTAGTCTTTTCATCTACAAAAAAAGTCATTAGCTGCGTTTCCATTGACCATGAAAATGAGCAAATTAGAATTTTGAAAATAAATGTGTTCAATGGAAACACGTCAATTTCGAAAATAATTCCTTTTTTCGACAAAATGTTTTTGCGCTAGGATGAGGTGGTTTTTCGGCCATATC